CTCATCCATGAAAAAGCTTGTACACAAATGTTCATAACAGGAGTATTTGCAGTCCTGGAAAATATCAACAATCCAATTGCCTCCTAATTGATGAATTTGTCAAATGTGAAATACAGATGTTTATGATATATTCTTTGACAAAAACATGAAAGTATGATAGATGTTACTGAATAAGCAACATTAGGTAAGAGAGTGCAGACAGTCACAAATGGCCAGTTACAACCTGATTCAGTGGAAATATATTCAACACCCAGAAGAGATACCAGAGAGAAAGTTGATTGAAAGCTTTCTAGGGCAGGGGAGTTGCAGAAAAATGAGAATTAACTTAATGGGCTTGGGATTTCTTATAAAGGAAATGAAATGTCCTAAATTTGGCTGTAGTCTTGATAGTACAACTCTAAATAGGTATCAGGTTTTTCCCCATCTTATATTTTGAAGACGGGCTCTCCAAAATGTTATATGAGCAGTCTGTGCTCGTGTCCCTCCCACATGCTAGAGTTATAGGCATGAACTAGTGTGTCTAGCTATGGAGTGCATTTTTTCACTTGTCTGTAGTTGGTTGGTTTTTTACCCTTTGGGAGCCTGCCACCCAGATCCCAAGTAAATACACGGAGACTTATTATTGCTTATGAATGCCCAACTTTAGCTTGTCTTGTCTCTAGCCTGCATTGCTTACTTAAATTATCCTGTTTTTCTTTAACTAAGTTTTGCCTCTGGGCTTTTTACCTTTCTTTCTTCTACATATCTTTCTTTCCTTCTTATTCCACGGCTGGCTGCCTGGCTGTGTGGCTGGTCCCTGGTGTCTTCCTCTCTTTCTCCTTTCTCACTCCTCACTTTCCTTTCTAGATTTCTCTCTGCCTACCAACCCTGCGTGTTTCTGTCTCCTGCCTAGCTATTGACCGTTCAGCTCTTTATTACACCAATCTGCTGTTTTAGATAGGCAAAGTAACATGGCTTCACAGAGTTAAACACGTATGACATAAAAGAATGAAACACAACTGTGCACTATTAAACCAATATTCCACAGCATAAATTAATATAACTACCTTAAATTAATATGCCACAACACCTTCTCTTAATTTGCTTATTAAATGCAGAAAATAAGTTATTTCTTACAGTTATTTAGACTGGGAAGTGAGAAATTAGGTCCTCGTCAGTTGAGGACTATGAGGTTTAGTGTTGACAGCTTGAAAAAAAATCTAGAATGACTGGGGGATGGGCTTCTGTGTGGTTTATCTGGATTACAATGATTAGAGTGGGTAAACCCACCCACTACGGGATCCTAGAGTCCCTAAAATGGAGAAAGAGCGCTGAACATTAGCACAGCAGCCATCCCTCTCTGTTCCTGATGTGGTGTGATGTGACCGGATGCTTCATGCTTCTGCTCCTTGGCTTTCCCACCATGATGGTGCACCTTCGTGTTCTGAGCCAGAATGAACCCTTCTCCCTTAAGTTGCTTCTGTCAGGGTATTTTATCACAAGCACAGAAAAGGTGACTTGACTAGGATGAGGGTCTTCTCTCTCTAATAACACATAGAAGAGGAACAAAGACAAGACAAGAAAATGAAAAGGCCAAACTCTCTTGGAGGAGAAACCTACTCCCTAATGAAAATACCTTATTTGTACAGAAGCAACATTAATACATTCAAGAGGGTGGAGTCTTGATAACCTAAACACTTTACATTAGACCACGCCTTCCAACATTTGCCCTGCGGATTCAGTTTTCACCACATGGACTTTGGGAACAAGCTTGAAGCACAGCACAAAGAAAGTCCCAGTACTAGCAACCAATGAACAGAACTAGAGGTCACTGCAGCACCCAATTAACAGAGCACCCTTGTCACAGTGTCACAGTTTTCAGTTTCACATCCCTTCTCTGATCCAGCCAATAAACATTTATTTGGTGTCTAGTGTACGCCAAGCTAGCTTTCAATGGGGGTTACATCGCCATACGTCACACTGTAAAGAAGAGAAACCCTTAAATCACATCACTTGTCTTTAAAGCAGTCTCAAAGCCTATGAACTTTATCTAGGCAGCACGAGCAAAGGATGTCAGAATCGAACAAATCAAACATCAGGGACCCAACAACATCAAGGTAAAAGAGAAGGTCATCCACAGATAGTAACGTCTCAAAAACTGATCTGAGCTCTGTCCACTTAATGCATACTATTTCAGAGAGGTCATGACGAAATGGCAGGATTCTGGGTTCTAGTGGCTGCGTGGCTGTCTAGTTATATAACCTTTCATAAGTCACTTAATTTCAGAAGGCAGTGTTTCTAGTTTTGCCAATTGCCTTATTTCATAGGTATGATTATGGCAATTAATGGACAATGTAGTTCATCTTTATAGCAGACCAGGCACTGAAAGCAGCTGAAATCTAGTCCAAGCATCACACATCTGTATTAATGTGATCTGTTAGCCAACTAAAACTAACAATTTGTAATACCTTTCTATTTGAGGGGTGATTATAAAATATAGCTACAAAATGATTCTTTCAGCGCAGATATGGAAATGTTTAGACTATTTTAAATCAGGTCATTAATTCATGCATCTTTATTTTTACTTGTTTGTTTTTGTGACAGGGGCTCATGTATCTGGCCTCCAAATCACCTTGTAGCTGAGGATGATCTTGAACTTCTGCTTCTCCTGCCTCTACTTTCTAGTTTATTAGGTGTTGGGGATTGAAGCCAGAACATTCTATATGCTAGGCAAGTGCTCTATTACCAGAGCCACACCCTGCACCTGTAATATACTCATTTTTAAATGCTAAGGCCTCATTTTGAAAAGGTCCCACAAGGGCATGATGGTAGACGAACAAAGGAGACTACAGAAAAACAGCCTAGTGAAGAGGAAGCCCGAGCTCTAACCCTGCTTTGCATTCTGTCTTCAAGGAGACTAGAGCTGAGACAAAGCCCACCAAGCCATGATTGGAAACAAAAACTTAGATCCCAGTCCTTCCACCTTTAATCAGAACAAATTCAAATTTCCACCACAGATTTAGTCACTGGAACACATCAAAGGTTTAAGGTATTGACCTACTTTGACAGACACATGGATATAAATAAACTACTTTGATCAAACATAGGAAAGGGTTTTTTTTTTTTTTTCCATGACTCTGCCTTCCTTGTTCTTTCATATTTTACAGTATTTTCATCTCGAGCAGAGAGGTTCTCAACATGTGGTTGCGACCCTTTTGGGCGTGAAATGACCGTTTCACAGGTTAGCATATTAGGCATCCCACACCCCGGATATTTAGATTACAAGTCCTAACAGTAGCAAAATGGCAGTTATAAAGAAGTGACAGAATAATTTTATGGTTGCGGTCAGCACAGCATAAGGAACTGTACTAAGGGTTGCAGCACTAGCAAGGTCGAGGACCTCTGCTCGAGAGTGTCTTCGGGCAGTGTGAGAAAGAACACGAACCTGGCTTGACTTAGAAGTCACACTTGGATGCATGCAAGACTTAGACCTTTCCGCAGCTATGCCAGGGAGTCCCCGACTTAACAGGGCACAGCCACGGACAAAAATATACCAGTTAGATCATTAAAGATTTCCATGGCCAGGTCTATAACTCACTGTAGAAAAATGGGGATGACCCTGAAAAATGGTTTACATTTGTGAGCATCTATTAGCTGCAAATAGAAAAATCTTATTTTTGAAATGAACAGTGCTGATTTTTTTTTTTTTTTGCCTTTTCTTTCGGTTCAGGTCTGCAAAAGATGGAACATAGGATAGGGCTCTACACTACAAGCACGTCTATGGCAGTGTTCCCTTGTGGCAGATTCACTTTACCAAATGTTCATTACATGAAGTTCTTTTACGACAGCTCCATAGTGTTTTCCAACGGCTAATTTGGGTGAAGAGGTAAGTTGATGGCAACTGGGCCTCACTCTGCTTTTCAGTTTCCACGGCCAGAAAGTCCTCTCTGCGGCTGCTCTTAAGGTGTGTCTAGCAATTAAAGCTGGGAGACCTGGAGACAGCTTCCCTGCCAGCTGTTAAGGCAGAAGCGCTGCTCTGCAGAAGTCAAGGTAGCTTGGTAACCACTGCAGCAGCTGTGCTAGAGGCCATATTGCACAAGGTCTGTCCACGCATCCAAGCCATGCCACCATTCCCATAGCAACACACGTAGACTTCCCTCCTCCTAGGGACGAGGCAGCCAGCAGAAACACTGGGATCATGTCCTGGTTTTCCTAGCAATATCAGTGTCGCACTTACTCCTTTTCATAGGAGCCATTTTGTTCCCCAAAAGGCGACCAATAACCATGTTGGAATACGTCCACTCAAAAGCTACAAACCAAGACACCTTCAACCTAAACAACAATCTATGCTTTCAAATGTGCTATTATTCAAGTGACTGCAGGGGCTAATAAAATTCCAGTCATTACAGTAATGACTTCTGTCCTCGTTTAATAGCCTAAGTGAAATCCAGCCCGAGATCAACTCCTTACAGACTGATCTCAGAACTGATTTGCAGTTTCTCCTCCATGAGCAAGCACGCACTTCCTCATCGTGGAACAAAGGAGGAAAACTTTCCTGGGGAAGGCTTCATTTAATCAACGAAACCCTCGTTGCTTTATTTCTCAAAAGCAGCATAAATAAATACATAAGGAGATAGCATTATAAAACACCTATGAGGTAAACTTTCGGAGAACACTTGTTTTAGGCAGGGGAAATAAACATCAGCATCAAGACTTGTAAACAGAGATGGCTCATGGCAAGATCAAGCAAAATATTTTGGTATTACATTCACTTTTTCCTCTTTGTGTATTTGGAGATCTTTTTATTTGTGCTTAAATTGACCTCCCACCACGGAAACAAGTTGCTTAGATTATAAAACAACATTAAAGATTATTACTAATATCACATTTCCCTTTAACTATGCCTGTGTTAAGCCAGCCGATGGAAGACTCCAGTGGACCAGGTGTGAGCTTAGGGGGATATATTCGCAGGCAGGCCCTCAGCGACACAGTGCCTTTTTCCCCAAAATAGATATTTTTACCTTTGCTTTTTCCAACTGTGCCTGGGCCTGCCGCTCAGCTTCTCTACGTACTGCCTCCCGGTCCTCTTCCAAAGACACATCTGAATCGGATGGACGGCTGGTGTAGGAGTCTGCCGAACCCTGAAGAGGAGAAGGGATATTTTTAAAATAAATCCAGCATGTGATGAGCGCCCTGGAGAAGCCTTGCTGGTGTGTCGGTTTGCTTCCTGGATGTGCTGAAAATTCCTGAAAAGAGGAGCAAATGATGCATTTTGCTGCATCCCACCTAGAAAACCCCACTTGACTTTGTAGATTCTTCACTTAGGTAGTTATGCGTACCAACACACCCTTCCTTCCCAGGCTCATTTACCAGAAACGAGCCCTTCTGGAAGCCTCTACTTGTTCCTTTATCATTAAATCGACTCCGTGGTGCAGTGCAGATCTGAAGGGCACTGAGGTGTTTCAAGGATAACTCCAAAAACTGCCTGAGGGCTGAAGCAAGTGTTTACATCCAGAGAGACCCACAAAATGCACCCAAGGCAATCTGACGAGTTACAAACTTAAACCCTCCACGAGCTCGCGGCTACGATACAACTTCCATTATCATCTTAAGGATGCTTTCAGCATTCGGCTTCACCTGCTACCTTCTCCGACTCGATAGTAAGACTCTCCAGCCTGCTTCCCTCCCACTTTCGGAAACATACTCAAAAATACCTGCACGCAGATATTTAGCGCGAGCTGGCTGCAGAAAACACCTGCTCGGGAGATTTCCTCTGGTAATAAATCACAACGCAGGCAAGGGAGCTCAGAAAAATGACAGGAATCTCCCGAGCTCCCTCTCATGCAATCATGAGCGTATTAACTAAATCAAACCACCCTCTCCGCAGGCACTTGCTGCAACAACAGAAAAGCCAAGAAAACAGTGTCTCCCCCGAACAAAAAGCCTTCTCGCTTACACAGATGTCCGAATTCTTCAGCCTTCCTCCCTTGGCTCTTTTCAGAAGCCTGATCCAGGTGGCCTTCATGAGCCGGATAGAGCCTTTAGCGTCCGCAGCTGTAGCCCCGGGCACAGATCCTCAGCGCGCGCTGAGCCCTGGAGAATCCCAGCACCTTTGCTATCCATGCTCTAGGAAGCCCCTCTTCTCAGTCCCCTTCTCCCACTGGGGCTCCCACTCCCAGCCCCAGTTGACTCCTGTCTGAGGAGAATCTTCTTATTTTCCCATCTCAAGGAGGAAAACACACACACACACACACACACACACACACACACACACACACACACACACACACACACACACACTCTAATGATTTCTATTGCTTTCAAAATAAAGACAGGTCCAATTGCAGAGACTGGCTTCAACTTGTTTAAACTTAATGCATTAGATTACTCTAAATATTCTTTTCCCTGCATTTGGCTCGTTAAAGGACATTAGTTTCAAGAGGACATTTAGAAAAAAAAAAAAAGTAACCAGGCAACAAAAAAACCCAGACTATGCCCTGGTATTTCCAAGTGTAAAGTTCAAGCCTTATCTTTAGAGATCTGGAGAGGGATGGTGGGGGGAGGGAGGATGCACTCCCTGCACTGGGCATGCTCCACATGAAGATTCTTTACAGATGCTGGCTTCACACTGTCGGTTTATGTCAAACTGCCATTTTTCATCGGAAGTGTAAACTGCTGGGAGGGTCTCTCAGCTCCTACCGTAACAGGCACGGGGCGTGTTCATCAGCTTTCTGTTCTAGATGAAGCCATGTCTCAAAAACAAAACTTATCGTCTTTTCATTGAATAATCATTTCCCATTCCCTGCCACAGACGGGATTTGCCATGCCATAAGTAATAATTCATATAATCATAATAAACATGACACACAATATTAAACAGCCAAAATAGAATATTGTAATATATCCTATCTGAAACTAATCTTTATAAACAAGATGCAAGACAGAGCTGTGGCCATTTAATTAGGGCACATAGTAATCACAGCTTAATAAAGCAAAGGAGTTGATGGAGCTCAAAATGACTGGCCTGCTTTTCCCAGTGAGAACCCATCACCTGAATAAGTGTGGGAATTGTTGTAGTGCTGCAGATAAGGACCTTCAAAGCTTTGCTGGTTTACTAGCTAGTGTTAACATTCACAGGATACACTGAATCCAAATTCTTCTTGTGGATAAGGGTGCTGGGACTTAGAGGAAAGATGAGGGTCATCCACATCTTGGGTGAATGGGGTTACATCTTTAATGTTTTCTTATGAAGAAATGCATGCTGCTAAGTTTCATAAAATTTGAGAACAAACTGCATCTATTTGAGTATGGCAGGGGATTGCTGTGTAAAGTCTCACACAAATCAAAGAAATGTGTTATTCAGAAAATCTTAGCTGGGCAAAGAGGCATATACCTCTAATGTCATCACTCAGGAGGCACAGGCAAGAGGATCATGAGTTTTACCGGACTGGGTTACATAATGAGATGCTGGCTCAAAATAAACAAATTAATAAATTAAAATAATAATAATGACCTCTTTACCTCCCTTCCCTTCCTTTGGACACTCAGCTAATACTAATTTACAGGAGCCAAAGGCTAGGAAATACATAAAGCAGAGACTACATAATAATAGAAACTGACTGAATCTGAACTCAATATTATGACATAAAGTAATGGCTTATTTATATTGTTATGAAGTTAATGTAAAGTGTCAGGGACTTAAAAATTCCTTGCAATTTTTATTTTGTTCAAGCAAAATATAAAAAGAACAAATTAATCCCCAACACAGGAAGGTTTCTAGTCTTCCAAAACTTCTCACAGCTGTAGCATTCAACTGGGCAATAATCAAGAGGCACAGTTAGACTCCACAGGGGCCCTGGGTCCCCATTGTTACCAGTGTGGGCATCTAAAATCAAACAGCTAAGGTTCATTTCACATTCCGGTGCAGATAAAAAGACTCTGTCCTTGGCGTAATAGTTCTGTCTATCCAGAACACCAGTCTCACGAACTCTTGTTTACCCTCCAACCCTTATATTCTTTCTGCTTGCTCTTCTCCATTGTTCCCTGGACCTTAGAAACAGTGACATAGAAGCTTCACAAGACCTCCTTTCAGACCCAGGACTCCAAAGTCACTCATCCTCTGCATTTGATCAGTTTTGAGTCTCTATGCGAATCACCACCAACTGCAAATGAACTCGCCGCTGTTCCAGGGACCTGGACAAGAACGCCATAAGACTAGAGCCAACACCATTTCACCACGCATGCTGGAGGAGTTCATGAGGTTCCGCACCCCACTGAGGGATTAGAAGATGGTAATTCTCACTGGGGGAGAGGGGTGTCATTTTCTTCAGCAGTCAGCCACCTATATGTTGCCCATGTTCCAGTACATAACTCTTCCTGGCTTATGCTCAGGAAAGCAGCTAAAGTTAAACTCAGTGGAAAATACACACACACACACACACACACACACACACACTCACGAGAGGGGGGATGAAAGTAGGAGGGAGCTGTGATAAAAAGAAGTCGTCAATGGGAGAGAGAGGGTAAAAGGGTGTGCATGGGTGGCTGTCAAAAGTTGATCATATATGCACATGAAACTCTTCTGCATTAACAATAAAAACTAATATATTTATCACTCTATAAAAAGAACTCATTATTAAATTTTTTAAATATGTGGTGGTCAGATAACTCATTGGTTAATAGCACTAACTTTTCATTCAGAGAACCTTAGTTCAAATCCTAGCACCCCGCATGACTGTTCATGACCATCTGGAACTCCAGTCCTAGGGAATCTGCTGCCCTGTTTTGGCATCCTTGAGCACCAGGCATGCACACGGTACACAGAAATATATGCAAACAAACTACTTATAAATGTTAAATAAGTATATCAAAAAATATTTTAAAAGACAGAGTTTCTGTCATTAAGAGCCTGATGTCATAGGGAGAATTTAGGAGACATGGAATCATGTTTACTTCACTCTCTTATAAGCAAAGTAGAGTCTATTCCTAGCAGCCAGCTGTAACTTTTGCACAGACTAATCATTTTATTGGTGTTTCCAAGTTTAAAGAGTTCAGTGGTCTTTAAAAATTACTTCACTGATGTTTGTCAACAATCTTTTGAATATATGCAGCAATTTATTAACCTCTGACTATCTTCCAAAATGAGACTGTGATCTCCTCTTCACAAGAGCTCACTCTATGTCTACGAGTATACACTCACGAAAGAGTTGTCAGAGCAGACATATGTACCTATAGTAGAACGAGAAATGTGGCCATGTCCTTAAATTCTCCAGTCCCCGAACAGCCACTGTTGAATAGTACAATGCTTAGTGTCCAGAGTTGCTGCATTTTTGAAAGTCACACTTCTAACGGAAGCATTGCACCTAACCTCCCTCCTTCTGGGAGTAGGGGATTATGCAGAGAAAGGTGATCTAGCCAATTAAGCTTTTGCCTTTGGTACCATATGGACTTTCTGGGTCATCGTGCTGAGAGTAGTCTTGAGTGGAGAACATCTGGCATTCATTTCCATAACTATTGGACGGGTTCATTATAAAATGTATCTGTGATGAGCTGATTGCTTGTAGCATTTGTCCTTGTGGATACAGCACACTTTCAGCTATGCATATTCCTTTTCTACCTCTGCATATTCGCATTGCTGATTGTACAGCTACGAAGTGCAAGTTGAGCCTAATGTCTACCAATAGGTCATGCCAAGAGCATCTATTTATCCCCAGAAATCTCACTGTACATCTGTGGTTCTTGCTTACAGGAAAACTGAGCTAATTCTGAAAGAATTTATCTGTTCTTCAATTTCTCTTTCTGCTTTTATGTCAAATGTGCCCATCACAAAACACTATCCTTCTTCTTCAGTGTTTTCCTTATGTGTGAACTTTGTTTTCTTGAAACTGTCCCGTTTTACAATCTTAAATATCCCCTACATCAGCCTTCTTGTGTTTTCTTCTTTAAAGTCAAAAGGGTAAGAGGTCTAAGCCTATTTGAGACTAGCAATCTGAATTACAATTGGTACCATTTATTTCTGTAGGAATCTTCCTATGAAAGCAAAAGCAATGCTTTTGAGCAAAATCAACTTAACCTCTCAGTTTTCTAGAGTCATCTGGATCCTCCACCTGGAGATGGCAAATCTCTTCCTCTACCTAAGACT